CACCGGACTATAAAACGCGATAAGGGAAACAACATCAACCTAAAAGGCGCTCTGAGCTATAAGGCGCACTCTCGTTTTTTGAGAAAATCAAAGGCCTTTAAGTACGCCTCACAGTCCGGCAAAAATGGTAATAGAAAATGACCGTAGGCAGTTGGATAGGAGGTCGCGAAATTCTATAGAATCAACAAATACTGCATAGTTAATTGCTTTTGCCTCGTTCACATTTATTTTAGGAGAACAGCGCTTCAATTAATGTAAGTCCCTCGGAGAAAACTTGTCTAGGCTTGGTCAATATAAAGATTTAGATTGAAATGCATCAGCCACTGGGTAATAACCATGTAGTATTCAAAAGCTGCCAATGGGCATTCAGAAGTATACACATAGTTTATGATTAATCACACTGACAATAAAAGTACCAGATAAAAGTCTATACACGGGTGACACCTACTTTGCGCCTCTGCATGATGCAGTTGCGAGGCGTTCGGCTCATCAATGGGCCCCTAATGTCCTTCGTATGCATTCTGGTAGATAATCCAGTTTATCGATTAAATTGCGGAGGAAATAGAGACAGATAAACATAGAGTGGAACCGACAAAGACAAGGGAGACCGGAATGACCATTTCTGGCCTATCAGTCGTCATCAGCCAGTCATATCCAATCCCAAGTGGGCACCACTCGAGATTCTAACCCGTGACCCCTTGGTCGCAGTGTAACAACGGGTCCACAACTCAGTGGTATGGGGTTACACACCACAACCAAAGGGTCGCAGGTCCGGATCTCGGGTGATCCACACTTGTGATTGGGTATGACTGGCTGATAAGCCAGAAATTGAAATTCTGGTTTCCCTTGCCTTTACCAGTTCCACTATATCATATAATACAAGTCGCTATTCTACTGCCTGCAGCCGAGAAAGTACGCATACCTTGGCCTTTAAAAGAGACGCTGCCGGCCCTTGAAGTTACGAGCTGATAGACGACAAAGACACACTCATCACCATGGCTGAGAACATGAAGCTCGAGATTCGCAGTTCTGATATGACCCTCGAGATGCAAGATTCTGCCGTTAAGATGGTTGTCTTAGCCGCCTCGAGATTCACAGTTGAAAAAGACATGGCTGCCTTTGTGAAGAAGGAATTCGACAGCCTCCATGGGGAGACCTGGCATTGCATCGTGGGAAAAGACTACGGCAGTTATGTGACGCACTTGCAAGGCGGCTTTATCTACCTCTACGTGGACAAGGCTCCTACACGGTCTTACTACAATCCTCAGACGAATCGGAATCAATGGGCGGTGGTAAGCCCCCAAATGTG